ATTTTTCCTCGCTCTGCTTCAATTAATTAATTTTTGCCATTTTTAAAAATCATAAAATTTTTTTTGATCTAATGAATTTTATTGGTATAAGTTTATTTTTAATAATAAAACTTTCACACATGACAAGAACATAAGGTTTTATCATTTACGAGACTTAAATTAAAAACTACTAAATTTTTTTATTAAATTTTATAATATAAAATTTTGAGAAACATAAATTATTAAAAAATCACAAAGATAGTCCTCGTGATTTGTTTGGTATTTGTTTTTTTTTTTAACTAAAAATCACAAAAGAAAGATAGTAAAAACCCAAGCCATATAATGATATAAATTTTATTTGTTTTCGTTATGTGGCATTTTGCGTAATTATTAAAGCCATCGTCCAAATACTTTTTGGAATTCAGTGAATAATTTATTTTATTATTTCTCTTTTTCTCTTTAGATATGAAGCATTGATAAAAATAGATGATAAAATCGGCTTTACATGATGTATTATTAAATTCATCTTTAAATAAACATTGTATTATTTATAGTTATTCGTGAAATGTGTATCAATTAATTCTAATGTGAAGAAGTTGCACATAACTAGATTTCGGCCAAATTATTATTGATCAAAAATGGAATGTAGATTTGATTATTGCATTGGATAATAAATTAAGGAAAATTGATTTCTAATTTTTTGATGTTAAACCCCAATTTAGTAACAAACATCTTGCTTGACTTCATCTAATGCAAACAATTTTCTTTGTACATGCAGTATGTGTTAGATTACCATAGATTACCATAAGAGCAAAAAGACTCGAGTTTTTAATCATAAAAAATTTGATTGGTAATTCAAATTCAGTGAAGCATTAATTAGTAAAAACGCGTCTTTTAATCTTCTTTTGTGAAAGAGTTAAGGATTATTTTCATGCAAGATTGGTAAATTACATATTTATTACTAATTCTTTTGTCTATTCATTAGATGGTTCGAGGGTGACTATTTGCAATTATTGGCCTGTGTGTATGGGAGGTCCCATCCGTTAGGTATTATATTTTTTTTTGTCATTTTTTTACTATCCCTTAAACGGTCAAAGTATTCTTTAGTAGTAACACAAAATAATTGTTTGATCACGACCTTGCATTCTTATTGGCCAATTAACGATCAGCAAAGTAAAAATAGTCAATCGACCAACTTTTAAGGAAAATTTTACGAAAACCACAAGGATAACAACCGAATTTTTATTCACAGATCAGGAAGTAATACCTTCAGAAAAAGTTTTTTTAACAGAAAAAAAATTTCAGCTATCAATAGCCGAAAAACCGTTTAAGGGATACATCTTTTAATCATTATCCCTTAAACGGTTAATCGGCTATTGATAGCCGATAAAATTTTTCTGTTATAAAAAACTTTTTCTGAGGGCATCACTTTCTAATACGAAAATGATCTTTGAGATTCAGCCGATTAATCTATAAATAAAAATCCAGTTGTTGTCCCTGTGGTTTTTGTAAAATCCTCTTTAAAAGTTGGTCGATTGACTGTTTTTACTTTGCTGATCGTTAAATTGACCAATAATAATGATCAAAATTTTAATTTGTGTTACCATTAAAGAATACTCTGACCGTTTAAGAGATAAATCTAAAATATTTTCATCAGTTATTATTATATTATTTCCATTTATGGAATGATCCCGTGTAGTCACGTGATAGAACAGCTTTTTGAAAAATCACGTGACTGAGAAATTTTCTCAAAACTGTCGCAGAGACGCAGTAAGCGGTGTCTTTGCACTATTATTACTATTACTATTCATTTATAGACGGATCGTCAGTTAAATCCTTAGGTTCAGTGTTGGAAATTTTATGCCGGGGTTTGTGCTACATTAAAGGTAGCCAATAATCTATTAGCAGGATTTGTGCAGAAAATTCGTGTAACAAAATACGTAATTCTTCCATTTTTTGTTAACAATAAATCATTGATGTTTTCGGGTATAATTCTATTTTTTTTTTTGAAAATAAAAATAAACAAAAATAATAATTTCAATGTTTGTTAACAATAAATCATTGATGTCTTCGGGTATAATATTCATTTTTTTGAAAAAAACAAATACTTTGTTAACTATATATAAATCATTGATGTTTTCAGGCATAATATTTGTTTTTTGAAAAAAAAATAATACTTTTGTTAACAATAAATCATTGATGTTTTCGGGTATAATTTTCATTTGTTTGAAAAAAATAATAATTTTATTAATGATAAATCATTGATGTTTTCGGGTATAATTCTATTTTTTTTGAAAATAAAAATAAACAAAAATAATAATTTCAATGTTTGTTAACAATAATTCATTGATGTCTTCGGGTATAATATTCATTTTTTTGAAAAAAAAACAAATACTTTGTTAACTATATATAAATCATTGATGTTTTCAGGCATAATATTTGTTTTTTGAAAAAAAATAATACTTTTGTCAACAATAAATCATTGATGTTTTTGGGTATAATTACATTTTTGTTAAACAATAAATCAATATATAATTATTATAAATACAAGAGGTTTTTTAAAACTCAATATTTCAAATTGATAAAAAATCTAAATTAAAAAAAGAACAAGTATTTATTGCAATTTATTCATTTAAAAATGTCCAACAACCAAACACATCAAAGAAAAACTATTAATAGAAATTTGTTTCATGATTATACATGGTTAGGATGTGACGAAAATGAAAATACAATCCTTCATTTTTGTAAGCTTTGTAGAAATAGAAATGGAAACACAAAACTTGCACTAGGTACAACAGATTTAAGTCTAAAAGAAATTAAAAGACATTTAGAAACCAATGAACATGAAATGTCAGAATTACAACTTCAAAGTGAATTAAATGAAAAACAATTAACAATTATTTCATTAATGAGAAATGTTTATTTTCTATCTAAAAAAAATCTTTCCTCAAATATTTATTCTGATCTATGTGAATTAATAACATTACAGTTTGAAAATAACAACCACTTAGTAATTAGTGAAAAAACCTCTACCCTGAAACCTGCTACTTTAAAAAAAAATTCTACTCCTAGATCAACACATGGAAGCTATACAAATTTTAAAGCTGCTTCTGATTTTTTGGATAGCATAGCCTCTGTAATAAAAGAATCACTTTTTGAAGAATTGAATTCCTCAATTTATTGGAGTATAATGATTGATGAAGCTAACAGTATTGATAATAGTAAATATCTAGCAATTGTGGGAAAATATATTGTTAATAATATTCCCTATATGAGATATTTAGGTATGATTAATCTAGAATCTACCACTGCAGGAAATATTTATAATCAAATCTTATCATTTTGTACTTCAAATGAAATATCATATCACAAAATAATTCACTTTGGAAGTGATGGAGCCTCTAATATGACAGGAAATCAAACTGGTGTTGCTACAAGGTTAAAAGAAATCAATCCTTTTATGACCTCAATTCATTGTATATCACACCGACTTCATTTAGCTGGAAAGGATGCTTCTGATGAAGTAGAATATTTTCAACAATATGAAAAAGTATTAAGAAGTCTGTATTCATATTTTTCTAGATCACATAAAAGGCAAGATTTATTAAAATTGATGCAGGAAATTAATGATGAACCAACACTTAAAGTATTAAATTTATGTGATACTCGGTGGTTGTCATTATCAAGTTCTGTGTATAATTTACATCAAATCATGAATTCAGTAATTGCTGCTTTAAATGATGACATGTTAGAAGGTGATGGGCATGCAAGAGTTTTACTAGAAAAATTGGATTGTGATTTCATTTCTGTAACAATGTTTCTTGCTGATTTAACAAATATTTTGAAAAGG